AAAAATGAAAAACACAAGAACAAGCCAACACACATTTATCAAACCAAATGGAGTCGATATAGTAATATAATAAAGAAATCACAAAGAAAGTGCAATTTGACAACAAATTGTACAAGATTTGACATGCCTGAATCTCCATTAAAACCTCAACACGTTTTTTAACTTTTGCTGATAGATTCTCGAGGGCATCAGAGTGCTGTCCTGCCAGATTCTGAAGCTTATTCTGCGCCAAAATGGAAAGCAGCGAAGACAAAAATTATCAGCCACTTAAACCATAACCGGTATACTTACCAAGTCATTTCAAGCAAAAACAGGAGTAAATCGACCAAAACAGAAACAACTTGTCAGACCAAGGGCCAAATAAACCCTAAAAGAACCTCCTTTGCAAATCCAAGAAAAGCAAACTCACTTTACATCGTTTCATACAGATCAAACAAGAAGCAGAAAAAAGTAACAGACCTTGAGAACATTAACGAGGCCAGCTCTACCCTCCTCGTTAAGAGCTAAAAAGAAAACAAACACACAAAATCAAAATAACAAAACGTCAGTTAACAATAGTGAAGAGAAGAAGGATAAACAGAGAAAATAGAAAGAGTAGGGTTAGGAGTTTCGAAAATCGAAATTACCAGCATTAAGTTCGGCCACCGTGAAGGTATCCTTGTCGCCGCTCATCTTCGATTTAAAGAGACGATCAGAGATAAAGAGAGAGAAAAGAGGGAGGCTAAAACCCTAGATTTGCGGGGAGTAATCGAAAGAGACGAAGAAATGGCGATGGAGGAGGAAAAGAGGGTTTTTGAGGCGGAAGGAACGTGGCCTTACTTAAATCCTCTCCCTCTCTCCAAAAACCTAACTCCTGCTCCCCTTTTATTTACGCAAGCGGCGCTGCCTTTTAACTAAAACCAATAAGACCGTGTTTGGTAAAATGGCAACAGTAAATAAGTCCCGCTTAGTAAAATATCTCTTTATTTGCTTATTATTATGCATTTATAAAGAAAATCCTGCAGAAAATCAGCTACAGTAAGAAACTATTAAAATCATAGGTATTACGTGTGTTGGTAAATAGTAATTGTTTATTAACAATATTATATGATTAATAGAAGGAATGCAACAAATCAACCAAGTAATAAGTATATAAAATCTTTAGTATAACTAGATTCTCGTCAATATATTATATTTTAACAAATGGTCAATTATGATAGTATGAAAATTAATGATCACAAAATTATAAAATTATAATGTATATAGGATTTTTTTTTTTTTTCAGAAAATAAAATGTATGTATTGCCACAAATAATGTCATGTCATCAAACTTATCTCTACTCTATTTTGTTTATTTTATTTTATTTATAATTTAAATTTTTATTAACCATGATATGCATGATTATAACATAATTTAGTGTGTTCTATATATAATTGCTTCACTTCCTACTTCTTAATAATAAAAATTTTGTTTAAAATTGTGGTTAAATTCTAGTCATCAAAAAATTTACACTATGTTTATTTAAAAATTTGTAAACTAATTAAATAGAAAAGTGTATTTTTGAAAAAACAAGAGTGGATTTTAAAGGGAAAAAAAAAGAAAGAGTATTTGTATTATTTAAGTAACAAAAAATTCAGAAAAGATTATACTAAGATTTTGTTTACTTCAGCTTTATAAATGAAATAAAATTATTATATGTTGATTTTATGAAAAAAAAAATCCAAATCAAAAGAAATTAAAAAAAAAAGACGGAACATATTTATAGTAGCATTGTTGATCACAAAATTAAAAGAACAATTTGTTGCACAATCTAAATCTCTTCTTTTTGTGATAAAAGTTTTTAAAAGAGAATAGATCATATGTCTTTTTGAAACACATTCAAAACTTAGATTATGAAATAGATTAATAATCATACTTCTATATTTTTTATTTTTATTATCAATACTTTTCTCATTGATTATTTAAAAAAAATAAAGAATATAGATTTTATTGTCTGTTGAACAAAATGAAATAATCTATTAATTTTCATAAATAATATAAACTTATTTTCAAACAAATAATGTTTTTGAGTTAATATAAAGACATAACTGAATAAAGAGAAACAAACCGTAAAATATTACAATTGTATCAACAAGAAGAGAAGCAAATAAAGATGAAAAATAAATTTATTTTAAAGTTATTTATCATTTATGAACTAAGAAAACTCATGTATAATGTTCCACACTTTAGTGGAGCCACGAACGTTGGTGCACACATTTTTTTAAATTAAATTATATTTAAATTGGATGATGCTGCATTAACTTGTATCCTTTTACATCCCTTGCAAGCAAAATAAAATATTATTATACAAATATATGAGACATGATCTCAGATATACAAATTTATGATATATTAAATCTAGGGAGTTCAATTAACCTCATAAATACAAGTTTTTCAAAAAGTAGAGGAAACTCTCTACATTGCTTTACTATGGGTTCTGAACTTGCTTATGATTTTTTTGATATGAAATGAAAGTATAAATTGGGATAAATTTCACATACTCAATAAGAACGAAATAGTAACCTAATCATTATATATGAAAATAATTTACAGAGTAATAATGAATTACAAAAAAAAATAAGCTTTTCTAAAGGCTGTTCAAAAGACACTTAAAAACAACATATGAAAATCTTCTTCCTAAATAATTATGTAAATGTAGCTACTAAGATTCTTATTTACTTTACATTATGTCCATTTTTCTTGATTTAGGATTAACTTTTAAATGTATATCCCACAATTTCTTGATTTTATAATGAATTTATGCATTTGTTAGTCATGTGTTTCCGACTTGTCAATTTTTACATTTTTTATTTAGATTTTGATCTCACACTTTTGTCAAATTTTACATTTTATTTATCGAATTTGTGTATTTTTGTAATCATTACTATTTCAACTTTTCAACTTAGATTAGTTTTACACCTTTTTATACATTTTCTTATTTTT